AAAAGTGAAAAGTGGAAAATATTTTTCTAGTTCCCTGGAAAATAGTGCCAATCAAACAGGACCTAAAAGAAAAGAGTGATATAACCAATGTACTCAATTTTACTTTATTTGGGTTAATTATCTTAGTAGTCACTTAGTGCCTGTTTGTCAACCATTATTGAGAAGAAAATGGTGTAATGAATAGTATTTTTTGGAAAATGTATAGTTGAAATTGAAAGAAACTTTATCGGTTTGTGTGTAAAATACTTTATTATTTGAATGCGTGGTAGAGATTGATTACTGTGGAAAATAATTTTTTGAAAAATGGTAGACAAACAAGGACTAAGTTTTGATACTGTAGATATGGGTAGTGCATTGATAATTTTTGGAAATTATATATTTGTCTCTTTAGTCGATGCATAGTGTACCACAAAATAATCAAGTTTTCCACCCTGGCATAGCTTAGATAAGTTTCAATGGGGTAGTTGGACAATTTTATTGGGCTTCCTTATCTAAGAAAAATCCTAATCAATTATAACTTTAACTATCAATTTATGTTTTTAATTGAGGAAAACATTTGATATCAAATTTCATCTTTGCTGAATTAAAAATTGTTTACGTGGAAAACCAAAATGAATATTGTCTATCACGGAAATAGTTTGTCAAAGTCATAATATTTTGTGTAATGCCGTATCGAATTAAAAGTACCAATTATTTTGATTTTCAGGAAAAGTAATATATACGGAAAAAACTGCGGCGAATTTCATGTCAATTATCGGACATGTCGATAATCGTCAAGAGTTAGACGACAAGATAAAACTAGGAGATAAAAGATACTATGCTGCACTTTCTATGATGGCTGCTAAAGTATCGTACGAGAACAAGGCTTACGTTGAATCTACAGTTATGCACTACTGGAAGGTACATTAAAATTCTTCACTGTTTTTAACATTTTACATACCTTTCAAATACTTTGCGTGCTTAAATTTTGTTTCTAACATTTTACATGATTTTCACGTACTGCGCATTTGATAAGAGTATGACAAAAAATATATTCATTGACCATTAAAATATAAGATTTTAAACAATCCCAAGATAACCGTGTTACAAGATATAAGTTCTTGTTTTGTTTAATTAAAAAAATTGGTAAAAATTTAAGTTTAAAATCAATAATTAATTTTAACCACACATTTCATGAGATCCATAACTTTTATTAACTTTTCAATCACCCATTTAATCAACTTTTATCAAATTTTATTAAAAACTTGATTTTTAGCTAAATCATACAGAGACCCTTTATTAATGCAAATTAATGAAAAATTGAAACCCTTTCTCATCCTAATACTATTTAAGATGATCTCCCCTTTATTCCACGCGTCAAACTTTGGGAGTTCTATCGTCCCTCTAAATTTCTCCTTTCTCTTCTTTCTTTGCTTTCAAGTGTCTTGTTCTTAGTAGTTTAGATAATTTTAGTTCTAACTCGGTAATACAAATGTGAACATTCTAAATTTGCCTAAGGAATGGACGAGGAGCTAGTCAACTATTTTCAATTATTGTATTATATGAGACCGACGTCATCAATTCTCTTGCACCATAGTGGTGACGAATCTATTTTAAGGAAAATTTGTGCAACAGAGGCATCCATTCCTTTCAATAACGTCACTAAATCAACAATCATATTTCCTCTATTTTATTATTTCTCCATTTGTCATAATGTTTCTTTTGATTATTTTATTTATATTACTCCAACCGTATTTATAATTTTCTTTTGTATTTTCTCTAACAAGACTAAATATAAAATTGTTCGTAATAAGTTCACATCGTCTTTTAGCCATTGTATACCCTAGTTAATAGTATTGTTTTCCGTTTTATGGGGCTAAGATTATTTCGAGTTTTGTGGGCAAAAATTATTGCTTCTCCACAAAAAAAACTCTGCCTTCCATGGTTTGGCTATGGAAAGAAATCCAATAACAAAAGAATAAAAAAACAAAGAATAGAAATATTAAAATTATTGTACGTCTAATTATTTCCTGTCTTTTTTCCTCTCCACAGATGGATTTTTTGGGGTCCTACAATTTTTGGAACGGTGATCATCTGACCTATTACTTATGATCTTAAATCATTTTTTTATTTCGTGAAATTAATTTTTGCAATTATATTAAAAATTATTTTTTTTGAATTTTGGCAGATTATCAAGGAAAAGCTACAACACAAGCGTTCATGT